TATATATATATATATATATATATATATATATCTCCACCTTTATTAACCTGGTAACCGAGAAAGGAATAAAATATCACTAGTCAGTAAATTAGACTGGGGAGGTAGAACCAAAGTGTGAAAAGTGATTATCATCTCTGAGCAATGGTAATTTCTTTCTCTCTTTCTTTCCTTTCTTTTAAAATTTATACTATATTTAGTATCTAAAACACCCACAATGAATGGGTACAATAATGAAAAGATAAAAATTATTATTATTATTATTATTTTTAACAGGCACTTTATTTCACGTGTTCTCCCTGTCTTGGGCACAGTGCTTGGGGCATGGCTGTTGAGTTGTGAGAACTTTGCCTATAAGAGTCTTCCTACCTGTCAGCACCATGGACAGAGTTAATAATTTGGGCTTGGTTGCCTCTGGGCCTTGTTCTTTCTTCCAGGGGTGACCATCTTTTGAGAGGCCTGCCTCCAGATACCCTCTTCTAGATGCTCTTCTTTATAAGGATACTGTTAGATACTGTTTCCCTTCTAGACGTTTTTCCTCCTCTAGATATTCCCTCCCTCTGGATACTCACCCTGTCCCAGATGCTTTTCAAATGGATGTGCTTTTCTCAGACTCTCTCCTTTAAACATGTAGTCTGTTATGTTTATAAACTTGTCCTCCTCTAGATACTCATCCTCCTCCAGATACTCTTCCTCCTCTGTAGACTCATACTCCTCCAGAGCGACTTCCTCCTCCAGGTAGTCTTCCTGCCTTGAATGCTCTCTCTTCTCCAGAGACTCTTCCTTTCCTGGGTAATGTTTCCCTTTCAGAGACTTTTTTGTTTTACCAGGTGTAGATTTATCCCTCAGATTCTCCCTATCTAACTCTACCTTGGTATCTTCTTTTGCTGAAGGGAAGTTCTGTGTGGAAAATTCAGACCTTGTGGGAGAGGGAGCAGCCAAGTCTCCTGACACTGAATTGTTTTCAGAAGACATGTTGGAGAAGCAGCAGGTGAAGTCACTTTACCACCCTGGGAACAAAGAAAGGAACAAAATCCCATTAGTTGGTAATAACTAACTATACAGAGATTTAATCCACTTGTTCTCTCATTTCATTTGGGAGTCTTTAAATATCGTGACCCTTGAGAAGGGACAAAAATAGAACTTCCAGAGGCTTTACCCTCAACGAGGTGATGGGGAGGCCACACCTGGAGGCAAAGACTTTGCAAATACTGCATCGTATGACATCAACAAGGAGGAACAGAAAGTGAAGAAGTGATGGGCACTTTAGAATTGAGCAGTGTGACTATTAGAGAATATGAATATTTATTAGTCAAGAAATATTTATGGTTGCAATAGATAAAACAGACTCTCAGGAGCTTGAATCTTGAGAGGAAAAAGACTCATGCGAACAGACGTCTAAACACAAAGTGACCAGCACAAGCAGGCTGGAGTAGACACTGTGGGTGGGGCCCCTGGTCATTTAGGTCTCTGCGGTTGGAGGTCAGCAAGGCTCATTTTCACAGCTCCTACATATGCTGTCATCTCTGCTAGAAGTCCCCTCTCCCCTCTCACTGGGCAAAAACTTACATTTCGTTCCCCGCATCTCGACTCCTCCAGGAAGCCTTCCAGGATCCACCCTATGCCCATCCATCTGGGCTTTTATTTTTATTGAAGAGATCATTTTGTTTTTCCAACAGTGGGAACTTCTCAAAAGCAGGAAGGGCTGATTCTTTTTCAAAAATGCATTTTGCATTCCCCTCTGCCTCCCCATCTCTGCTGTGACTCTCCACAGTGACCCGAGCATTTCTAGCCTGGATTACTGAGCTTCCTGAGACCACTGCCACCACCTTGCTAGTTGTTCTCCATGGGAAGTCTTGTAGAAATACAAATCATACCAGGTCTTCCCTTGCTTAGCCCTCCAGACACGCCCCCCCACCCCCACCGCAGCTCTCTGTTGTGCTTAGAACATAATGAAAGCCATCCCGTGCCTTGTAGGCCTTCCTGTGTCTCTGATCTCATGTCTTCCAAACCTTCCTCCCTGCCCTGTCCGAAATCCTCACCTGCAGCACTTGTCCCTTGTCTCATTATGTATCTATCTCTATGTTGACTTATTCGGCCCCTCTTTCACTAGGCATGTGCCCGTGTCTCAATGACAGTGAACTTGTATAACTTGTTCTCCACGCTCCTTCCTGTAGTTGTCGGCCTGGAGCCTGGTGTATAATAGAAGTCCAGTCACTCTATGGCCAGTGTCTGAAGGAAGGGCCATCATGTGGGTTCAGAGCAGTGCATCACAAAGTTTTAAAAATAACCTTTATTTTTCACAGTGGGATGAAGCTAACAAGACTGTTCCTTGTGGAGGCAACCAGCCCAGAGTCCTGAACAGATAGGTGTCTTGGCCTTTTTTTTCCTGGTCAGTTGGGGAGTTCTGTTCTAGGGAATCATTGAGAGGACATCTTCAGGATCATTTCTAACATAAGCAGTGTGATGTTCAAGATGAGGATGTGAGGGCCAGGGCATTTATCACAGGCCAGTGGGCACCTCTGTCCACCCACAGTGTTGTTAGAGCCCTTGGACAGATTCTGCTAGGATCAGCTGGTGTGGTGAACACAAAGGTGCTCCACTCAGACCTCTTTTCAAAGAAGGATTTGCTGCCCAGCTGTGGGGAGTATGGTCAGCAGACAGCTCCTGCAGGGTGTGCCTTGGCTACAGAGTCTCTTGCTAGAAGACTGGTCCTTCTAGGGATGGCCCATCTCACCTCATGACTGAGGAAGGTGGATATGAAAGCCCAGTCAGCCCAGGTGGGATGCCTGAGAGGCAGAACTCACCTAGAGCTGCCCAGCAGGCTGGCAGAAGCTTATCAAGTCTGCACCACAAGGACCATCCCTGGGCCCAGTCCTGCTGCTGCTTCCTTTCTCAGGGGTTGAGAAATGTTTTATATCTCAACAGGTTGCATCTCCCCTATTTGCACCTGTGACCAGCGGCTCTAGAACCTTTTCCACTTTAAGGGAAGCTGCTCTAGGCTTAAGACTCAAACACACCATCTCTTATGGCCATTCACGTCTAACTTACCCTCGGTCTCCGTGCCTTCCCCACAAGCCAGCGCTGGGATGATGAGAGGGGTTGGAAGGCGTGACAAGGAGGCTCCTGAACCTGCTCCCAGGCAGGCCCGTCTGTGAACTTCCTTATAAAAACCAGTTGTACCAAGAACACTGCTAAGTCAGTTTAGCAAGAACTCCGCCCTTCCTTATCTATATGCAATCACCCTCGATGATAATCTGATCAGGTTCCTCATCTCCCACTATCCCCCAGGTGACGTTTGACCTCCCTGGCTTGTCTTTAATGAGAATGCTGTCAGAACCGCATGCAGTGACACCTGCCTGTAATCCAAGCTACTCTGGAGGTTGAGGCAGGAGGATGGCAAGTTTGAGGCCAGCTTGGGTGATTTATGGAAACCCTCCCTCAAAATAAAAATTAAAAAAGGGCTGGGATGTAGCTAAGTGGTAAAACAGCCATGATTAAAAAAAAGAGAAGAAGAAAGGAAGGAAAGGAAGAAAATGCTGTCAGGTAAGTTTAACTAGAATTCCCTCTCTTGATGCCCCTTCTTAATTTTCCATCCATTCTCCTGGCATCTTTTTTTTAAAAAAATTTAAAGTTATACATGGACACAGTATCTTTATTTTGTTTATTTATTTTTATGTGGTATTGAGAATCGAACCCAGGATCTCACACATGCAAGGCGAGCTCTACTGCTGAGCCCCAGCCCCAGCCCCAATTCTCCTGGCATCTTGATATACATTTTTACTCTGGGGTCCCACTCAGCTCCTTGGCTACAAATTCCTACTCGCTCTTGCTGCATTTAGAACTGAGTCCAGTTCTGTACTGAGGTCTCCTTTCTCCTCCTACTTTAGTGGCTGTTCAGTTTGGTTTTCTTTGATGGCCACACTCTGGAATGCGAGAGGATCATGCGTAGGCACCTCCCTTCCATCAAAGGCTTATGCCTCAGGGCTTCCCACCTTTCAGATATTTTAGTTGCTTAAGAGATCAGAATCAGCTGTTCTAGACAGCCCAGATTGCCTGTCAACAGCATACCATCATTCAGGGTTAGAAGCCTTTTCTTTCCATATTCTCCTCAGGCCTTGTAAAAGAGCATCTAGTCAGCTTCATTCTCATATCAAAGATCAGAAAACAAACTCCCTTCTAGACACCTTCCCTTTAATTCTTCTAGAAATTTCTACAAAAAACCTATAGGCAGAAATAAATAGTAAAAGCAGTCTGATACCCAGTGTCTGAGGCAAACAATATTGCCCTGACTTGTGATTCAGATCTTGATCCATTTTGATCATAGTTTCTGACAGATTGCAGGTTAATTCCTGTGGTCATAACAGGAAAAGCAACTTTATGTTGAATAACTGCAGCTCATTCATTTTTTTGACCTGCTTCCCAAGATGGCCGCCTCCATCCAATCAGGCTGGCAGACATTTTTATTCAGTTTAAATAATGCTTTTCTAAAAATTGGAAGCCTTCATGAAGTCTTGAGGTCGTGGCTTCTCTTGGAGACAGGCATCAGCTCTGGGCAGGGTTTCCCATAGGGATGAAATGAATGGTGTGTGCTCTTTCCATTTCTGCCTCTGCCCTGCCACGGCCTTGGTTGGTCAGTTAGCAGGCAGGCTTGTTATCACACAGTCCTGTTGTGTTTCTTATGGTAGAGCAATAGTTCTCTGTTCCCAAATCTCTATCAAAGGTGAGGAAAGAAAACACACACGAAGAGGTCGGATTCTTTTTTTCCCTTTACTTACTCGTGCATTGGCTTCTCTTTCTGGCCCCTGTCTAGGCTGTTGCTCTAGGCTGTTGGTTTGGTGGTGGTAAGTGCCATGTTCACCACCAAATACCTACCCATGGTCACTGTGAGACACGAAGACGTGTAGGTTCTTTATCTTGTGAACTTGGAGAATGAAATCCATGGACATGAAGGGTGAGAGCAAAGTAACAGGATTTATTAAAGTAACAGCAAGAAAACAGGGCTCCCAGAGGGGGAGGGGTCCCAAGAGGGCTGGGTGTCTCTCATCTAGGGGCTTATATTGATAACCTTGGAGGGGAGTTAGGTGACCTTGAAGACCACAGGCTTAGAGCTGTTTTAAAGAAGTGGGTCTTTAAGTCCAGTCACACCAGGGTGCCTGGTGTTTATGCACCTCCTGTCCAATCAGCATGTCGATTTCATGCCACTTCGCCTCAGGGTTTTGGCACCTGTGTTCAGGCTCCGATGGAGTCACTGGCCATGAGCTGTCTACTCCATTTGTGGTCAATGGCAGAAGTGCGGAAGCAAAATGCCACCTCAGGAGGGGCCCTTAACCCTGTCTGCCTAACGTGTTTCTATTTCCTGCTCTCAGTAGTATAGTGCTGGGTATGTAAGAGGTTCTTATTAAAATCTGCCAAAAGAATAAATGAACAAATAAAGAGAGTATTAATCATGTGCGTTGGGCTTTGCCAAGCTTACTTACTGATGATGTGTATGTGCTTATTTAGTGAAGAGGGTAAAGCTTTATGTCAAGGTCAACATACTTCCAGAACCCTTCCACACTGCCTAGGAAATGCGAGGCTGGCAGATTTCCGCAAGGTGAGGTTTATTTCTAGATCTCATTTTCTATTCTAAGGTGAACATGCTTAGTTGAAATAAATGAGGAAGACAGAAGTAGATGACAAGTAAACAGAACACTCCCTCTGCAAATAAGAAGAGGAAGGGTAATAGGTTCCAGCTGAGTAGCCTACAGAAGGACTTCATGTTCTGGTTGTGGTTATTAAGGCAAAGGAGCTGCCAGGGCCTGTCTGTCTCTCTCCTCTGGGTCCGGTGAATGGAGGGCAGTGCTGTCCTCAGTTCTTCTCTCTCTCTCCCAGGAGCTGTGGCCCTACTGAAAGGAATCATGCTCCAGAAACCAAATGAAGCTGGGTGAGAACACAGTCTTTGGGGTGAGGGAAAGAGGCAAGAGAGTAGACTGCACCCTGTGGATGAGCAGGTATCCTCTGA